TAGGAATGCAAGAGATTTCTGTGTATTAATTTTGTATCCTGCTACTTTACCAAATTCATTGATTACCTCTAGTAGTTTTCTGGTGGCCACTTTATGATTTTCAAAGTATAGTATCATGTCATCTGCAAACAGTGACAGTTTTACTGCTTCTTTTCCAATTTGGATTGTTTTAATTCTTTTTCTTCTCTGAATGCCATAACTAGGATTTCCAAATCTACGTGAATAAAAGTGGTGAGAGTGGACATCCTTGTTTTGTTCCTGATTTTAGAGGAAATGCTTTCAGTTTTTCACCACTGAGATTGATGTTGGCAGTGGATTTGTCATATATGGTTTTTTATTATGTTGAGGTCAGTTCCCTCTATGCCCATTTTCTGGAGAGTTTTTATCATAAATGGGTGTTGAATTTTGTTGAAAGCTTTTTCTGCATCTATTGAGATGATCATATGGTTTTTATTCTTCAATTTGTTAATATGGTGTATCACAGTGATTGATTTGCATATATCGAAGAATTCTTGCATTCCTGGGATAAACCCCACTTGATCGTGGTATATGATCTATTTAATGTGTTGTTGGATTCTGTTTGCTAGTATTTTGTTGAGGATTTTTGCATTTCTCTTCATCAGTGATATTGGTCTATAATTTTCTTTTCTGTGACATCTTTGTCTGGTTTTGGGATCAGGGTGATGGTAAACTCGTAGAATGAGTTTGGGAGTGTTCCTCCCTTGCTATATTTTGGAAGAGTGTGAGAAGGATAGGTGTTAGCTCTTCACTAAATGTTTGATATGATTCACCTGTGAAGCCATCTGGCTCTGGGCTTTTGTTTGTTGGAAGATTTGTAATCACATTTTCAATTTCAGTGCTTTTGATTGATCTGTTCATAGTTTCTATTTCTTCCTGGTTTCATCCTTGAAGGTTTTACATTTCTAAGAATTTGTCCATATATTCCAGCTTGTCCATTTTTTTGGCATATAGTTGCTTGTAGCCATTTTTCATGATACTTTGTATTCCTGCAGTGCCATTTGTTACTTCTCCTTTTTCATTTCTCATTCTGTTGATTTGAGTCTTCTCCCTTTTTTTCGTGATGAGCCTGCCATGGCTTATCAATTTTGTTTTCTTATCAAAGAACCAGCCTTTAGTTTTATTGATCTTTGCTATTGTTTCCTACATTTCTTTTTCATTGATTTCTGATCTGATTTTTATGATTTCTTTCCTTCTGCTAATTTTGGGTTTTTTTCTTTTTGTTCTTCTTTCTCTAATTGCTTTAGGTATAAGGTTAGGTTGTTTATTTGAGATTTTTCTTGTTTCTTGAGGTAGGATTGTATTGCTATAAACTTCCCTATTAAAATGGCTTTTGCTGCATCCCATAGGTTTTGGGTAGTCATGTTTTCATTGTCATTTGTTTCTAGATATTTTTTGATTTTCTCTTTGATTTCTTCAATGATCTTTTGTTTATTTAGTATCATATTGTTTAGCCTACATGTGTTTGCATTTTTCACAGTTTTTTCCCTGTAACTGATATCTAGTCTCATAGTGTTGTGGTCAGAAAAGATGCATTATATGATTTCAATTTTCTTAAACTTACCAAGGCTTGATTTGTGACCCAAGAAGTGATCTATCCTGGAGAATGTTCCATGTGCATTTGAGAAGAAAGTGTACTCTTGTTTTTGGATGGAATGTTCTGTACATATCAATCAAGTTCATTTTTTCTAATGTGTCATTTAAAGCTTGTGTTTCCTTATTTATTTTCATTTTCGATGATCTGTCCATTGGTGTAAATGGGATGTTAAAGTCCCCTACTATTATCGTATTACTGTTGATTTCCCCTTTTATGGCTGTTAACATTCGACTTATGTATTGAGGTGCTTCTATGTTGGGTGCATAAATATTTACAATCGTTATATCTTCTTCTTGGATTGATCGCTTGATCATTATGTAGTATCCTTCTTTGTCTCTTGTAACAGTCTTTATTTCAAAGTCTCTTTTGTCTGATACAATAATTGCTGCTCCAGCTTTCTTTTGTTTTCTATTTTCATGGAGTATCTTTTTTCATCCCCTCACTTTCAGCTTGTATGTGTCCCTAGGTCTGAAGCTGATCTCTTGTAGACTGCACAAATACAGGTCTTGTTTTTGTATCCATTCAGCCAATCTGTGACTTTTGGTTGCAGCATTTATTCCATTTACATTTAAGGTAGTTATTTATATGTATGTTCCTTTTATTTTCTTAATTTTGGGGGGTTTGTCTTTTCCTTATCTTGTGTTTCCTGCCTAGAGAAGTTCCTTTAGCATTTGTTGTAAAGCTGGTTTGGTGGTGCTGAATTCTCTTAGCTTTTGCTTGTCTGTAAAGCTTTTGATTTCTCTATCAAATCTGAATGAGATCCTTGCTGGGTAGAGGAATCTTGGTTATAGGTTTTTCCCTTTCATCACTTTAAATATATCCTGCCACTCTCCTCTGGCTTGAAGAGTTTCTGCTGAAAGATCAGCTGTTATCCTTATGGGGATTCCCTTGTATATTATTTGTTGCTTTTCCCTTCCTGCTTTCAGTATTTTTTCATTTTGTTTAATTTTTGTTAGTTTGATTAATATGTGTCTTGGCATGTTTCTCCTTGGGTTTGTCCTGTATGGGACTCTTTACACTTCTGGGACTTGACTGATTATTTCCTTTCCCGTTTGGGGAAAGTTTTCAACTATAATCTCTTGAAATATTTTCTCAGACCCTTTCTTTTTAAATTATTCTTCTGGGACGCCTATAATTCAAAGGTTGGTGTGCTTAATATTGTCCCAGAAGTCTCTGAGACTGTCCTCAATTCTTTTCATTATTTTTTCTTTATTCTGCTCTGCAGCATTTATTTCCACCATTCTAACTTCCAGCTCACGTATCCGTTCTTCTACCTAAGTTATTCTGCTATTGATTCCTTCTAGATTATTTTTAATTTCAGTTACTGTGTTGGTCACTACTGTTTGTTTGCTCTTTAGTTCTTCTCGGTTCTTGTTAAATGTTTCTTGTATTTTCTCTATTCTATTTCCAAGATTTTGGTTCATATTTACTCTCTTTAGTAGTTTCAGGTAATTTGCCTAGTTCCTCTTCATTTATTTGGTTTTGTGGGTTTTTTGTTTTTTTGTTTTTTTTTTTTTGCTGTACATGGGCCTCTCACTGATGTGGCCTCTCCCGTTGCGGAGCACAGGCTCCGGACGCACGTGCAGGCTCAGTGGCCATGGCTCATGGGCCTAGCTGCTCCGCGGCATGTGGGATCTTCCCGGACCGGGGCATGAACCCGTGTCCCCTGCATCTGCCGGAGGACTCTCAACCACTGCGCCACCAGGGAAGCCCTGGTTTTGTGGGTTTTTATCTTGCTCCTTTGCCTGCAAGATATTTCCCTGTCTTCTCATGTTGTCTAATTTACAGTATTTGAGGTATACTATCCCTCAGCTGCAGGGTCGTAGTTCCTCTTGCTTCTGTTCTCTGCCCCCAGTGGTGAGGTTGGTCCAGTGGCTTGCTTAGGCTTCCTGATGGGAGGGACTGGTGCCTGCATTCTAGTGGATGGAGCTTAGTCTTTTCCCTCTGATGAGCAGGGCTGTGTCAGGTGGTATGTTTTGGGGTGTCTGTGAGCTTAGTATGACTTTAGGTCATCTGTATGCTGATGCGTAGTTTTGTCTTCCTGTCTTATTTGTTGTTTGGTGTGAGGAATTCAGCCCTGGGAGCTGCAGGCAGTTGGGTGGAGCTGGGTCTTGGATTCACATAGAGGCCTCCGTGAAAGCACTTGGTGATTAATCTTCCCTAGGGCAGGGAATTCTCTCATGGTCCAGCGTCCTGGACTCAGTGCTTCCACCCTGGAGCCTCAGGCCCAACTTCCAGTCAGGGAACCAAGACCCTGCAAGTCACTCATCCTGACAATAAAGGTGATTAAAAAAATTTTTTTAAAACAGTAACAAAGCCCCAGACAAATGGTAAAAATTAAAATCAAACAAACAGAAACAGAAACAAGGAAACACACACACACACACACAAAAGAAACAGGCCAAATAAAGCAAAAAGCAAGAGAACAACCAGACAAACAAACAAACCCAGGAATGAAATCAAACCATTAAAAAGAAAAGTAACAAAAACACAAAACCAAAAAAACCAAACCAAAGCAGAGTGCCAATTGAAGAATGAAGCAAAGAAACAAAGTGACAAAAACGATTAAAAAAAAAGAAAACGGGGAAAGAAGACAGAACAACAGAAAAGCAACACAGAAATAGAAATGTAAAAAAATAAGATAAAAAATATATTAAAGTAAAATAAAGGAAAAAAAAAATACAAACAAGGCCCCAGACAAATGGTAAAAACAGAATCAAACAACCAACAACAGAAACAAGGAAACACACACACATGCAGAAGAAAGAAAAACAGAACCAAACAAAAACAGAAAAAAAACCAAAACAGAAACAAAAAAAGCAAGAGAACAACCAGAGAAACTGAAGAACCTAAAAACGAAATCAGAGAATTAGAATCAAAACTAACAAAAACACAAAACCTAAAAACAAAACCAAAGAAGTATGCCAACTGAAGAATAAAGCAAAGAAACAGAACAAACCAATAAAAATAATTTTTAAAAAAGGGAAAAAACAAAACAACAGAAAAGGAAAGTAGAAATGGGAAATTTTTTTTAAATACAAAATATATGAAAGAAAAAGAAAAAAAATGAGAGAAAAGAACACAGAACAACATAAAAGAAAAGTGAAAACAGAAATATATAAAAAAATTTTTAAATGTTATAAAACATGAAGATTCCCCCACAAAATAAACTGAAAAAAAAAAAAAGCTAGAACCAACAAGAGAATGAATCAAAACATAATAAAAGTAATAGTAATAATTATGTTTCCCTGGGGTCTCAGCTGTTAAGTGTCCTTGCACACGCCATGAGCCACAGCTCACCTCTGCCTCCCCAGGAGGCCCTCCTCTGCCTCTGGGCTGGTCCCTGGACCTGCTGTGGGCCCTGTGGGGACCACGCAGACTCTGATGTGGCCCAATTCCTGTGTGTTCTTGTCCCCAAACTCCACAGCTGCCAGAGATAGACTGTTTTCATTTGTGGGAACACTCATTGTCTACTCAGATATTGGATAGACGTAGGGTCTAGCTGATCATGTGGATTTAATCTGCAGCTTGTACAGCTCATGGAAAGATTTTCAATCCTCTTTCTTAGTCGCCCCATCCCTGGGGTTCAGCTTTGGTTTTATCCCCAACTCTGCATGTGGTCCACCCACAGGAGTCTGGTCTTGAGGATGCCTTGGAGCTCATGGCTCTGCCCCAGTGAGGACCAGGCGCAGAGGTGGTATGACTGCTTGGATGGCAGGAGCCCTGGTGGTGCCAAATGTGCAGGGAAGCCAGCGACCATGGGTGCAAGAGATATGGCCCTAGTGAGGGCCTTTTCTGGCACCTGGCATAAGGTGCATGAGGGCTGGCCCTGGCCAGGCTATTTTTGGTGCCCGGAAGCTGGCATGCAAGGGCTGGCCCTGAGAGGGCTTCTTTTATTGTCCGTTGGCAGGTGCCAGCATGAGGGGACAGAGAGGCTACAATAGTGGCTCCTCCCCCTGAGTGTGACTCAGCAGTAGTGCCTGCTTCCATGGCAGTCTGGTCTTCCTCTGTAGGCATTCCCTGCTGTGGATTTCTTCCCTCCTGTCCCCTCAGTCTGTCTTCCCACAGCCAACACCAGTTCTCGCCCCAGGCCTCTTCTCCAATCCCCATGCTCCAGCTCCCAGCTCCCTGCACACCTGTGAACACACGTCCCAGTCCGGGGCACGTAGGGCCACAGTACGGACTGTCTGTGTAGTTCTGAGTCTGCTGCATCTGTCACAGATCAGCCGCTTCACCCTCTTCCAACAGCCTCAAATGCTTCCCTTCTGTCCCAATTGATTTCCCTGTCAGAGAGGGGTTTCCCCGAATCCAGGAATCTCTCCTCTGCTTCAGCTCCCCAACTGCGCGTGCAGGTCCTGTCCCACTTCCTCTCCTCATCCTCTACCTTTTTTTTTTTTTTTGTCATACCCAGTTATGCAAGAATTTTATAGTCCTTTCTGTTGTTCAAGGTCTTCTGCTAGCATTCAGCCAGTGTTCTGTGAGAACTGTTGCATCTACAGTTGTATTCCTGATGCATCTGTGGAGAGAGATGAACTCCACGTCCTCCTACTCCTCTGCCACCTTAACTCATCATCCTATTAACCATTCTTAAATGTTCTGATAATTACTTAAAAAGTTAGAAAAAATAACAGGTTTTGGTTTTCATCTTTCAAAGTACAGAGAAGGAAATAAGATTTGTGGGAGGACATGCCAGGCTGTGGAGAGTGCTTCCAACCAGGCACAGAAGGCAGCCCCTCTCTCTGGGACTGAGCAGGCAAAGACAAAATATAGAGCAAGTGTGGTGTTTTTGAACATATTTTGGAACTTTAATTTTCTGCATTAATCTACATAAGGACTTGATTTCAAAAGCAGCACAGGGGGACATGGCTGCATTTGATCTTAAAAGGGGCTAAATTTTGGGGGCTGATTTATGCTCCCAGCAATTTATTGCTTTAAAAGTTGGCAGTAATTTGGGTCAAGAAATAAAATGTGGGCCTTGGGGCAAATTTAATTGAAGAAGATGTCTGATGTATTTCAGAGGATTCTAAAGGCAACATCAAAAAGGTATTTTTAAAAGACACTGAGAGGTTGAATTGCCCAGATGGACAAATAGGTACAATAGCAACAGGCAGGTCTCCAGCAGGTGGAGGCAGTACTGCCCCATCCTCTGACCCTCCTCACTGTGCCCATGCTTGTGACGGGCATCCTTCTGCATGGATGCCTGCTTGCGATAGTCATCCTTCTAGCAGAACAAAACAGAACACAGCAGCCAACATTTTGTGTATCTTAGTTTCTTATGTCCTGTAAGGCACTTTTTTCTGCTTCTTGCAAGGATGAAGACTGTCTTCATTAATATCAAATTTATGCCCCAAGCTACAGTTCTCTTCTTTTTCTATATATGTAATCTCCTAGCACATCAACACTAAATCATAATGCCCTAATACACTTTCAAAAGCAACTAAACTCAATACACATACTTCCAACACTACAAACAACTCAATATAAGAAGCCATGACCAAATTCACATGTGCAAAGTTTACGGAAAAAAACAGAGTTACAACCACCACTTGCCTGACAGAGACTGTAAACTGATTCTGATTATAATATGCATAAGAGTTGGAATTATCCAAATTTGAAAGAAGTAAATGTGTATTGGACTATAAAGTGCCGTGTGTGTGGATTCAGGGAGAAAGAGCTAATGTTAAAGGTGGTGAGTTTTCCACACTAATCTCAGGATTATAGAGGAACATACTGACCACATTGCCTCCTTAGAGATTTGACCATCAAGACATAATCACTCTGATTCTAAAACATTTGCAAATGTAAACAATAGATATACAAAGTCTATTTATTTACTAATCTTGTTACAAACAAAAAAATTAAAACAAACAAGAAAAACTGTCCATTAAAATAATTTAATATGGCTTTTTTCCTCCAAATTAAGTGATTAACTACAAAACACTAGATAAATCATTCTTAATGTGTGTGAAAATTATTCTTATATTTTCTATAATTTAAATCTTAAATTTCTCTCAGTTCCTTGAATTACTCAATTAAGTCAGCAAACTAACTTGAATTAGAGACTAACTGAAACAAAATCTGTCCGTAAAAGGTCAAGTATTAAAATCTGGATGAGGTCATTTCCTCAAGAATTCCCATAATTCTATATTACTCTTTGTTGGAGAGGATGATGTCATCACCACATGGACTGTCAGTCCACACAGCAGGCATCAAGGGCAGGGACAGCTGTGGGAGAAGACGTGTGAGGCAGGCCTTTCCCTGATGGACCCCTAAAGGGTGCATCACTTTTTATTTTAAAAGAGTAAACCTTGAACCCATACTCTTGTGTCCTGCTCAACAGTTCACAGGATCATACCACACTACACGTGTTACAGCTCACAAATGCACAGCAAATACGGTTCAAGATTAGAGATTATAATCTTAATACCACAGATATTCAGTCAGCAGGAGAGAAACACCGCTTTTGAAAGTAAATATTGTTTTCAAAACGTTGATTTTAATATTATTGTTATAGTATAAAAACAAGCAAAAACAAATGTAGGTCAACTTGATAGATGATTGTGTTTCTCAGTATTCTTTTTCTGTAAAAGGGCTCTAAGAGTTCTCTATGTGTGATAATTAGATGTATGAAATGCACATCACCGTAATAAATAAAGAAGTTTGGCATTATATTCATTATATTCATAAAAATGGTAGATTTTATAAGGCATAAATTGTTATTTGATAATACTCTGTAAAACTATTAATCATTAGGAGCTATCGGTTTTAACTTTCTTCCACACTTTATATGAAAAAGTCATGTAAAATTTGAGCATTTTTAGTCAAGTTAAAAATGTAATGGTTCACAAAAAATGAAGAATTTAAAATAACAGTAGCCTCGTGAAGCATTCCATCTAGAGCAAAGATTATTTCTTTGAGCAGTTCACAATTACTTGTGAATTTTTTATGAGCAAGTCATAATTAGTTACCACATCTGTAAAATAGAAGTTTTATATATTCTGTGATTTCCAAGATTAGTCTCAGCTTAAGCATTCTGTGATTCTAAAAATTCAAGGGGGTACAATAATTTGCTAGTGAGACATGGTTTATTTCAATATGAATAATAGGTGGTTTTGTTGTTTAAAAACCTTCCTATAAATTATGAAATTAAATATCACACAAAAATTGACACCATAAAATATTCTTGTTTCAGTAGCCATCATTATGAATCAAGTATAAACTACTACTGTAATATTCAGCATAACATCACTCACACCCATCACTTGGAGAGCTATCAGGACTTGAAACGCCAACACAACTTGGCCAGAGATATAGAGCTACATTTTATTGAGAAGCAGATACTGAGTCTATCACGAGCTTTCTCATATCCAAAGAATGGACAAGTATTATTCTGAGAAAAAGTATCAAGTTATGTAATATTTAAATATATGATTTAAAGAAGAAACCTGTACTCCATCTAGACTCTAAAGGTTTAATTAAACAGGTTCCTTAAAAAAGACACAATGCCCCATCATATTTCTACCATATTTCATTACTAAGTAAAACTTTTCATGTACATTTCTATGACAGCCCAATTTAATATTTTAAAACATAAGTGTAAAGTAAATTTCATAAAATTTAAATTATAAATATATATCTATTGAATGTACCTATCTTGCAATAGTGTAAGTCTAGCTCAAAATAAACACAAAAACCAAAAACGTGTATGCCCAAAAAACCTCATCTGAAAGTTAAATTTTATGGTTTGATGTGCTGTAACAGCTTATTCTGTTTGAAATAATTATAAACACAACCTTCTACTTAATTGTATTTACTAAACTTTATCATATTAGAAGACAATTGGTAAACTACAGCATTTATTTCTGTAATCTTTATTATTAGGATAATTATATGGTCTTTGCTTCAGATACACTCTTCAGAAAGTTAATTACCAGCTTAAATCTTTGAGTTTCCTTTTTTCTTTTGCTTAGGTAATTTACTTGAAAAAAAATTTAAAAAAGAAACTGCTTTCAACCATTGGAATTTATGAATATAAGTAATGAAACCATGCTATTGAAATGTTATATTTTATAATAATGATTCTGCTGATAAAAATATCACATGATGACAAAGTGTCCAGTGAAAAAGTATTTTCAAGAAAATACTATCATAATCATTATATAAATGGACTCTGAATATAGAAGACTAGAGATTACAATCCAAGGGTCTAATAAAGACTATATTACCTTCCTAAATATAATAATTCTCTGCTGTTTGGCTAATGCTGTATATTGACAGTAGCAGTAATTCTACTCCCTTTTGCAATAAGAATATGCATTTTAACATGAACCAAAACATTATTGAGTGCGCATATTTGAAAAATCAAATTGTCAAATGATTTACACATTAAATAAATGATTAAAATATCTAGTTATGCTTCCCATATTCACAGAATAAAAATACAGCCATCAGTTGAAAATTATTGTACTTTCAAAGAGTTTTCCTTCTTCTATGTCAGTATCATATATTTGTATATATTAATAAAATGAAGCTTTACACATTTATTTCATGAAAGACAATGAATAAACCATCAAGTCTTATTTTTATCAATTTTTTCTTAATTCTATGTGAACAAAGCATATATTACAGTACCTTTGGATACTGTTTGACAGGAATCAATACCCTTTCTGAGAGCTTTATGTTTTTGTTGCTGATGACATCAAGATATTTATTTTCTTCATCTTCCTTTTTTCCATCAGAACCTTGAAATTTTTCAATTTCTGAAAAAAATTCACAAGAAAAACATTAAATGAAATAAGAAGTCATCATAAATACACTGACTGTTCTTATCACTCCCTTTCTTAAATAAGATTTTGAAGAACCTTGATAAAGGGACTGAAAGCTATGCTACTGTACTGTCTGTACAATGATCTATATCAACTAAAACCAAAAAGCAATGACTGAAGATACAACTGTCTTCTGTGAAACAAAGGATGCATTTAATTAACTTTTAACATCTTCAAACAAAATTTGAGAAAGAATATTCCCTTTAATTATTTAAAATATCTAAGCAAACATAAATTTCCTAGGAGCAATGAATAGAACAAATATATTTTAACGCTAAATGTTTTGTTTTTAGTCAGAATTGTTCCTAAGGAAAAATAACTGAAAATAGAAATCATCCATTATCTAAAATAGGGTAGTAGAGATAAACAGTATGCTATTTTATATTCTAACAAACTTAAATCCAATTAAAAAGGGGAGTCACAGAAAAGTCACATAAAGGATTAAATCTGTAAATTATATCATTCATATTCATCAACATGAAATTACCTACATAGATGTTTAAGAGGAAATACTAATTTATCCTTATGAGAATCTTCCCAAAGTGAATATTTTTTTTTTATTTCTTAAGTTTTGTCTGCATTGGGTCTTCGTTGCTGTGCACGGGTTTCTCTAGTTGTGGCGAATGGGGGCTACTCTTCATTGTGGTGCATGGGCTTCTCTTGTTGCAGAGCATGGGCTCTAGGTGTGCGGGCTTCAGTAGTTGTGGCAT